ATCGATGATATAATCAATTTCATCTAAAGGTTGCATCTGAAGAAGTAGTTATATATGCAACCTTCCTAGGTCACTTACTTTAAACCTCCATTACTCCTGATCCAACTGACAGATATCTTCCAAATAACTTTCTACTGATTCATAAGAAGCTATTCTACCAGATTGGGAGGTGATTTCTCAGTCAGTAACTTCTAGTTATCCTATATAACTAGTCTTTGGTCATCATATGATAATGGTAATAATTCTTACAACTACGACACAGTTCTTAATCTAGTTATATCACTCTGTAAAGTCTATTGACTTCTTCAGTAGTATTTCCTAAGAGTTCTAAACTCTTCTGATCATTGTAGTGTGAATGTAAATATGTTGCTTTTTTGTGAAAATCCTCTAACATTCAATATCATATCTTTGTGCCAAAATATTCCCTTACTGATAGCCAATAACAAAGAAATTCCATCTTTAAAGGCTAATAACTCTCTGGATAGTTGACAGATTTACTCCATTCTACTTACCAGATCTTGAAAAAAGTCTCCTCTCATATATCCTGTGAACAGAATCCAGTTAGATGGATGGTTGTAACGTATTCAGTTTTATTCTGACACCTTCAATTCTGTGGTAATATAGTCACAAAACACAACTAAAATAGATATGTATGCTGACATGTAAGCCTTGTAAGGAGGCTAGAGGGGAGTATTAGAGATTAGATATTCTGATTCTGAGTGTGGTTAACCTACTTAAAGTGGTTCCTAGGTATCAGATTCTGGTACACCTAACATTAAGGAGAATAGAAAGGGATGTTGGAAACTCCAATAAATAAGGGTCTGTGTACTTCCATATGCCTAACAGTAATCTATCCATTTAGTCTACTTGCTTGTCTGACCACCTCTACTGTTACTCTCATCATTTCTTCTAACTTCTTCAGCTTGTAGAGAGCTTCCTGATCCAGCTAGTAGTTCACTTCAGTATTCAAGTTGAACTGTACTTGGACTTTAATATTTGTTGCTATGTGTTTGCTAGTAATTGGTACTATTAGGCAAAGATGACCTGTATAGACTCAGAATCGTCTGAGTAAATCGTAATTTTATTTTGTAGACACAGATTTGTCTAAAAAGGCTCAATGTATTCATATTTTGTTTATGACTACTAAGAGTAAAGTAAGGTAGAATAGAATCATGTAAACAATTTTAAATTGTTAAGGTCTCTTCTCAGTTACTTGATAATCTCTCTAAAGCTTGAGAAGCCCTTGGATATTTATATCTTGCATCTGAGTGTTCATAGACTACATCTATCTCTCATACAAATTATGTATCTCTTTAAAGTTAAGTCACAACATCGCGCATTTTCCAAAACTGTGAACACCTGGAGATCCTGAAAACCATTACATCCTCTCCTAATAATTACTATTCTATTTCTTAAAACATATCATTATCACTAGTAGGAATTTCCCAATATTCAGAGTCTTTAAACCATAGCCTAGTTCTTAATTCAAACTGTGTTGGTCCCAACCTCTTTCCCTGTTGATGAAAAAATCAGTTTTATTTGGGAGTTGCATTTTATTATTCTCTCTGAAGTCAAAAACTTCTAGTAGTGATAGCTTAACTACTAACTAAGAGAATCTTTTCCAATAACTTTTCTTGTCCAGAGAAGAAGCCCTTCTATAAAATATGGGCATAATCCTTTGATTGATAACTTTTAGTTATCCTATGTAGTGGGAGTTGACCATCATACAGTATTGGTAATAATTCCATGGAGTATTTACTCCAGATGCATTACTGGCTCAAAATATGAGCCTAAGGCCTAGTAGAAAGCAGAATTGGTTATGGGATGGGTAATATGATAAAGACAGTCAGTATGGGTAAAGTATGTGGGAGTTTTATATGAATGAGAATACGATAGAGAATACAAGATAAAAGAAAATCAGGAGGGTTCAGGAAGAGAGAGGTTTATGGCCGGAGGGTGAAGATTGGCTTTTGTTAGAATACCCAAAAAAGTTCTGTGTTAGCTGTTCCACAGTTAAAAATTGCAAGGAGAGTATAGCTGACACGTGGTATATGGAATGCCAGAAGTAAAAGGTTTGCAGTAGCTACTATACTAAGAAGAGGAAATATGATGAGTGCGAATGACACAGAACTTGCACTTAGTCTACTAGAAAGTTACACTGTTTACACTGCTACTATTACAGTACTAAAGGATGTTTGAACAGTATCGATCTAGATATGTAATATCCAGAAACTTATAGGTATTATTTTTATTTTTTTAATTTCTTTTTAGCTACTTTATAGGAGATTTAAACTTCATATATTATTTATAAATACTAATCTAATATTTGGTTATTCAACTTTATTGATTGTTGTACGCCGTCATTGATAGCATTACAACCAGACTTCCTACAACAAAAATCAATACTACTAGTA